GGCGGCACCTGCCGTGCCGGGGTGACGCCCTGCGTGACGGCGCCGGAGGGGCCTCGGGAGAGGAACCAGGGGTGACCGACCCCGTGCCCGGGGTGCCACCCGTCTCCCGGTCACCGCGTCGCCGACGGGAGCCCACCAGGTGCTCAGGCACTCGTGGGAGGGGACGGCTTCAGGCCGCGAGGGCGAGCTTGCCCGGACTAGGGGCGGCCCGAGCTGGGCTCCCGCGCCACCTGTTCACTCTCGCGCCCAGACTTGCCAGCCGTGTGCCCTGGAGCAAGTCCCTTGTCCTCTCTGAACGTTTCCCTCTCTGAGAAACCGAGGCGAAAGAACTGTCATCCCAGGCTTGCTGTGCGGGGCAAGGCCCGCGGGTACCTGGAACCCTACCCAGTTACAGCCCCGGCCTGTGGCCTGCCTGGGGAGCTGCGCAGAGGCGGAGTCCTGGTTGCTAAGCGTAGAAAGTGCTAGAGGTGGGCTGGGACCCGCTGTGCCCTGGCTCCCGCCTCCTGGAAACCTTCCAGCTTGTCCTGTCACATCACAGAATCCAGGTCCCGGTGACGGAGCAGGAAGGAACGCGGGTCCCTGACACCGGTCGGTCAGTTCCTGGGCCTTGGGCCCCGGAGTGAAGGGAAGTGTGGGGAGGGATCCGCAGTGTCCGTGTGGCAGGGTCCGTGTCTGGACACAGTGTGGCCACGGGCATCCCGGTGGTGCTGCTGCTGCTGGGATCCAAGGAGCTCAGCCTTCTTGGAAGCGGCCTCCTGGCTGGCCAGCCCCTACTCTGAGCCTTGCTTTAGAAAATACGTAGCAGTCAGCAAAGGCTTCTAGAGAATATTGAGCTGCCCAGAAGGTCAGATTACCAGACCAGCACGTGGTATAGTGGTTAAGGTGCTGGATTCCCACATGGCTGAGCACGGTTCAAGTCCCGGACGTGGTGGCTTGAAACTCATGCAGGGAACGTGTGTGTGCCCCAAAATCCTGAGAGGAGAATGGAGGAGAAAAGACTGTGGCGTGGCCATCCTCCCTGGAAGTGATTTCTCACTTTCCTTCTCTCTGTCTCCTTCTGTCAAGCACATTGGCCCTGTGGCAAAAACCTTTAAGAAAAATTAAATTACCGAAGATCCATTCCCCAAGAGCCCTTGTTAATCTCAGCCTGGCTGTCAGTGGATATTCCCCTCCAGGCCCTGCCGGTCACACAATTCCTGGGGTTTGACTTTTGTTTTGTTTTCTTAATTGGATGAAATCATGAATGCAAAAGACAGAACCTGGAAATAGGAGTTTTGGCATCAGACATGGGTTCGAATCGCACCCCGCCATGTAAATTTCTGACCACCGTGAGTACACACACTTCCTTAGCGTGAGCTGGAGTGACAACACCCGCTGAGGCTCGCAGTGGGGAATGCGCAAGGCCGGGCATGCAGGACACGTAGCAGTGTCCAACCATGATTAATAAAATGTTCTAAAATAATCCTGAGGGCAGCTTTGCTTCCAAAATATACTTACTGGAAAATTACAGAAATAAACCATTCATGACTTAAACTGCGCGCCCTGCGCGGGTGAGGACACCTCTCCCCAGCCAGCTCGGTCCCCTGGTCATACGTCACTGTCCCTCTGCCGGGTTTCAGCGCCTAGTCCCCGCCCGCCCGTTGGTCACTTGGCAGCAGTAAGGTGCTCAGACCGGGAACCCGTGGCACCGTGCACGGAGGGTCGTATTCTGCGGTCCACGCGTTGCTGGGGGCCTGGAAGGTACGTCCCGTGTGGGAGGGGCACTGCAGTCTGCTGTTCCTGAAGCCCCGTCAGGACCCGGGCGGCACGCCAGGGGCTTCTGCATCACTGGCCACGAGGCAGGCCGTGTCCCCTGTGATGAGCAGGAAGCCTACAAGGTAGCAGCATCCCTGGGCGATGAAGACGGAGGAGGAGGCAGCCAGGCAAACCCCGCGGCCGTGCGCTGGGCGAGGTGTCGTCCTGGAGGGGCCAGGACAGCTTATTTAGGAGCTGGGGTGGGGCCTGGACTGAGCCCATGGGCCACTGGCCGTCCTGGCTGTCTGTGGACGCCCACTGCCTCTTGACACTTCGTAAAATAGTTGGAACAGGTTGTTTTCAAGGGTTCTTTCAGCTCCGAAAGGTAGCGGTTTGTCATTCTAAATAGCTCTTGCCCACACAGCACTGCGCAGGGTGGGGGGTGACTACCACGCCTGGGTGCCGATTACCACCCCTGGGTGCCGCCCAGACCCTCCGGTCTTGTCCCCTGTGATGAGCAGGAAGCCTACAAGGTAGCAGCATCCCTGGGCGATGAAGACGGAGGAGGAGGCAGCCAGGCAAACCCCGCGGCCGTGCGCTGGGCGAGGTGTCGTCCTGGAGGGGCCAGGACAGCTTATTTAGGAGCTGGGGTGGGGCCTGGACTGAGCCCACGGGCCACTGGCCGTCCTGGCTGTCTGTGGACGCCCACTGCCTCTTGACACTTCGTAAAATAGTTGGAACAGGTTGTTTTCAAGGGTTCTTTCAGCTCCGAAAGGTAGCGGTTTGTCATTCTAAATAGCTCTTGCCCACACAGCACTGCGCAGGGTGGGGGGTGACTACCACGCCTGGGTGCCGATTACCACCCCTGGGTGCCGCCCAGACCCTCCGTGGAGGAGGGAACCGCCACGTGACTGGGCCGCACGGAGCAGCTGGCCGGGAGGTGATGCGGCAGCCGGTTGCTAAGTTACAGCTGGGGCCTGTGGGTCTGGCTTCCAGAGGCCACGCCCACTGCCCGTGATGGGCCTCGCTGCCACTGAGTCATCTCCGAGTCTGTCAGGAGACAGGCACAGCCTTAAGAACTGGACCTCTGGAGTCACAGGCAGGTTCAGAGCCCGACGCCCTGCTTGAGCTTCAGACCCGAAGCCGGGCACCGAGCCCCTAAGCCCGATCCTCGCGTTAAAAGGAGCCGAGGTGGTGCTGGTGGGCCACGGGGCGCTAGGCTGGTGCCAGGCACGCAGCAGGTGCTCGGAAAGCCAGGCGATGGCTCTAGCTCCGCCCTCTGGCCAGAAGACAGCATCCCCTGTCCTTACCAGCCTGGTGGGGTCAGCCCTTCCACCTCTCCAGCCCCCACACCCCCACTGCACCTGCGCGGGGCCCAGCATCTGCGAGGAATCGGGTCTCCCACTCCACGGGTGGGGACGGCGTTGGGACAGGCGTGGGCTGATGGTCTCTCTTCTCCCCTTTGAAGTCCCCACCTCGGTCGCAGCTCCAGGCAGCGTGACAGTAGACATCTGTGCTGGAGCCAGGCCCGTCCAGGGTGGCGAAGGAGCTGCCACAGCTACGCAGGGCCCCCAAAGCTCCTGGGGGGGTTGTGGTGGCCTCAGGGGGGCACTGGAGGAGCCGCGGTGTGCGGCGTCCTCACAGCCCCTGCCTCCTGCGCCCCGTCCGTGCGGGCGTCTGCCGGTGCCAGCTTTGGTCTGCCCACTGAGTCCTGTAGAGGTGGCCGCAGGCCTGCACTGGCCTCAGTGCACGTGCACCCGGTGTGGTGGGGGAGCGGGCCGGGACAGATCTAGGGAGGCTTAGGGCATGGCAGGCTTCCCGACTGCCTGGAATGGGGCTCATGCTTCAGTGCCACAAAGGCTGGACGAGCTCCACCTGGGCCAGCGGCAATGCCGGGCTGGGCAGTGCCAGGCTGGGCAGTGCAGGACCCGGGGGTTAGAGAAGGCGGCGTGTTCCCCTAACATGGGGCGTGTGAGGGTCACCGGGAAGCTTTACTAAAATGCAGCTTGCAGGGTCCTACTCCCAGAGAGGGTCTGGTCAGTGGGTCTGGAATGGGGCAGGTTGACAGTGACCGCCAATTCAGGGGTCACACCATGAGTCCTGCCAAAGTGACCCCATGGCCTGGAAGCAGCCGTCCCAGGTGGGTCTGGCGTGACCAGACCTCTTCCAGGCCGGCCCCCGGCAATGCACAGTTCCTGTCATCTCTGCTGGCGGCCCTGGCCCGCACAGAAGCCCCCTCCCGACACGCCTTTTAAGGAGCCCGCACCGCCATGCCAGCGGGGTGGAAGGGAACCTTGTGTACTGTGGCCCACTCGAGGGCCGGGGGGGCCTGGGGCCCAGGTGTGCCTGTCACCATCACACGTGAGTGTCTGGTCAGGTCAGAGGGTGCCCTGTCCCCAGAATAGCCTCACCCTGCTGGGCAGTGCCCCAGGAGTCCAGAAGATACATGTGCTGGCATGGGGGCCACTTCCCTCTGGGGGCCAGGGGACTCCGTCCCTGTGAGCATCCCCCATGCTGTAGGCTTCTCTCGCTTCTATTTGCATTCGTTTATTTCTTCCACGAGAGCGCGATGGAGAGAGAACGTTCCTGACAGGTCTCTGCCACGGTCCTCCCCCAGCCCTCCCCAGGTCATGGCCACCCTGCCCAGCGTACTCAGGGAGGTCTGCAGACACGAGCCCAGGGCCTCACCAACGGTCGTGTCTGACCAGCACGCCGCCAGCCCAGATAACGTTTCCGGGTCCCTCCTCCTCCTGCTGCCCCGAGGTGAGTCCCCCAGAGTCGTGGTCGTCGGGGAGGCCAGCTGAGGAGCTGCCAGAGTGGGGGGAGCAGATAGACTGCCGTGTAAGCGAAGGTGTTCGTTCTTAGGAAACCCTCAGGCATGAGGCTGAAGGGGCAGGCTGTCTGCAGCTCCCTTTCCATTGGTTCAGAAAAGAGTTCATATACATAGAGTCCCCCCCCAAGGGGCCAGTAGGTAGCATAGTGGTTAAGGTGCTGAACTCGCAGATGGCCCACCATGGTTCAAGTCCCAGACGTGGCAGCTTGAAAACACACAGGGTGCATGTGCGTGTGTGCCCAGAGCCCCAGGGGGAGTCTGGGATAAGGATCTCGGTGCGGCCTTCCCTGCTCGGGCGATTTCTCACTCTCTCACCCTTCTGCGAGTGCATGCACCCTATACCAAAATCAGAGAGAACTTAGCAATCATTTAAAAGGCAGAGAATCTGGGTAGAGCGGAGGCGTGTTCATGGCGCCCCGTATGCAGCCGTTTGGTAAGTTTGCAGTTATTTCCAAATAACTTCATTACAGAAGAAAGGGTGGCAGGCGCCATGCCTGGTCGGAGCCCCCGGGTGCCCCTGGGGATCAGGGCAGCTCCCCGTTGGAGCTTTGCCTTCTGATCTGCCCCGTCACCTCCCTCCACTTGCACAGGCTGGGGCCCAGGCTCCCTGGGTGCCCAGCAGGGACATGACTGGACCGCCCTGAGGTTCAGCCTGCAGAGGGCGCCGTGAGGGGCCACCAGGCCTCCTGGCAGCCTTCCCCGCCCACCCCGTCTGGGCATGCGGCGCCCATTGGACCGCGCGTGGCTTTGGGCCTGGCCACCGCTGGCCAGATGCTGGCTTCCGTTTTCATCACTGCCCCTGCAGCTACCGGTTGGAGTATCCCACAGGGGAGGTTGTCGCCTTCCGTGCTCTCCCGTCAGCACGGGCTCGGGGCGTTTATTCTCTTCCGTGGGTCATAATCCGTTACTAGGAGTAGTGGATTCTGTCGAGCAGGCACCTCGCATGTAGCCTCAGCGCTCCCTGCGGCTGGCCCTGTCTTCCCCGTCACCCCCTGCGGGGCACAGCCGTCCCGGCTTTCCAGCACTGCAGGTGGTTTCATCCACAGCTCGCTCTCTCCCCGCCGCAGCCCTGAGACCGGCTGTTTCTCCAGGAAGCCAAGCTTCCTTTTGTGGAGGAAGATGCTCAGAAGGCAAGGTCTGGGCTCTGGGGTGCTCGCTGACCCTGTAGAGTCAGGGCTGGCAGCCCCCTTAGGCAGAGCTAGGAAGGCCCCCGGGAGGTCCACGCATGCACCTGTTCCTCTTGCCCTGGCGCCTGCCCGACATTCCCGCAGCGGTTCCTCTCAGCTCCAGCCCACACCAAAGCAGAGGACCTCAGGGTGGCCTCGCCTGGGGACGCTGCTCCCTGCCCTCACATTCCCGTCTTGAACCCTTTCTGTCCCTTCATTTCTCAGTTCTTTCCCCCTCCCAACCTCGGGGCCCCATGCCATGGCCGGACATGGACGCTGCTCACGGGTGCTGCTGGGTCAGCAGTTGCATGCGGTTCGACCCAGCTGCACCGTGGATCCCCGCCAGTGCGCTGGCCGGAGGGTTTCCAGGTGGGGTGTGTGTGATCGCACGAGCTCGTGCAGAGACCCCACGTCACGCCGAGCAGTGAGGTGTGCAGGTCTTGGTGCGAAGTGCCACTTCGGGAAGTCAGGGTGCACAAGCCCGGCTAGCCTACGCCAGACGCTGCAGGGAGAGCCTGGGAAATGCGGGAATTTGGGGGGGGCTCGGCTTTCCAGGTTGGCTTGGGGCACGAGCGCATCTCTTCATTATTCAGTGGGCGCGGAGGGGGTCGCAGACACGGGACACTGCATCTGAGGTGACCTCGGCTGCGGGTCTGGTCGAGACCCAGCTGTGAAGGTGGCCGCGGCACCCAGTCCCAAAGGCCTGCGGGAGGCCGCTCTCCCCTCTCAGGGCCCTCCTCCAGCCCAGAGGCCCTCTGGGATCTGAGTGCCTGGCAGTTTCGCGAAGGGACTAGCTTTGCTTCCACAGGGCCTTACGTGCAAGTGCAGCCACTTGCAGACTGTGGGACTCGAACTGTCATCAGGATCGGGCATCTGTGCCGCCTTCCTGCGAGCGGGGCCCAGCCCCTCTGCCCACCCTGTCCTCACTCTCCGCTCTCCTGGCTGATGAGCATGAAGACTTGCAGCTGGGCGCTCCTAGCTGGCGTCTCCGTCCTCTCCCAGAGAACCTCCCAGCGCCTGAAGGGCGCTTCCGACCCCGGGACCTGGCGCTGTCCTGCGTGTGTGAACCGCCCACCCCACAGCACTGGCCTGCTTGGTCTCCTCGCATCCACTCCCTGGACAGCCCCTCAGCCCCTTCCTTTCCACCCCGTGATCACATCTCTGTCCCTTTGAAAGGTCCCGCGGCCAGAGCCAGGGGCATCGCTCCTGCCCGCTGGGCTCGCTGAGGCCCCTGCCCTTTGCTGGGACTTCCAGGTCCGCCCAGTCCCGTTTCCTGCCAGCAGATGGCGCCATGGAGAAACCACTGTGCACTCGCTTTGGTCCCAAATATGTTTGATTTGCTTCCATTTCTCCTATGCGGGTTTCTCAGGGAGAGGGCTGCCCTTACCCAACTTAGGACAGTGGGGAAAAGGGCTGCCCTTACCCCGGACAGCTTGGAGCCCAGAGCTCCGGAACAGAAGGCCCCGGGCCGGCCGCCGCGCTCTTGCCTCACACTTGGTGCTTTGCAGGCCTTTGCTCGGGTCCTGGTTAGAGCGTGCGGGCGTGGGGAGCCGGGCCACGGCGTGGGAGACTCGCCCACACCTGGTCCTCTTCCTTCTCCTCCCTCAGGCTGTCGCTGGCCCTCGGGCGCCCATGGGACGGGTGAAGCCCCCCTGGACCGCGGCTCCTCCCAGTGGCCGTCGTCCTGCTGGGCCCCCGCCACGGCGCCAGGATGCACGTGTCGGCGGTGCTCAACGCCCTCCTGGTGTCGGTGCTGGCTGCCGTCCTGTGGAAGCAT